TAAGCCGACGCCAAGCGTATAGCAGCAGATAAAAACAACAACAACAACAAAAAACAGAAAATCAGCAGGAAACTGGAGTAAATTTCTCAAGCGGTAAGTTACCAGTAATCAATAGTAGATAATTTTTGCTAAATGCATAAGTCCCGTTAAAAGGGAAGATAATGGTAATGGAAAAAACTATGCAAACGCGTAGAAAAAAGAATGGGAATTGCATATTTAATTGGGGGGTAAAAATTGTTACACATATACTGCTATGTATATTTATGATTTAGCTAAAGCAGTCCGTGGGAAAAGGTATCGAGTAAAATGCAATGCACTCGAGTAAAATTGAATAAATAAATAAGTTTAGGCGTTTATTTGATGCTCGCGACATTCTGCCTCGGCTTTTTAACAAACTCTTCAATTTTGTCAATCATTTTCTTCCCAACCATTTCGCGGTTTTCGTTAGCCCAGAAAGTCTTTACTCGCCTTATTGGCGTTCTGCTGGGTTGCACCACTACACACAATACCGAATCTTGCTTCCCCATTCGCATACTCTGGGCAAACCTGAGCAACCCGTGTGCGAGATGCGGTAACCAATTCGTGGGAAGCCTTGTTTCACGGTAGAAAGAGAGGAAGCTTATTCGTTTTAAGGGATCAGTAGGTTAGGTTAGGTTAAACGGGCAGCTCTGCAAAGAGTTCACTCAGAGGCCGCGAAGGCCCATTGCGATACCCATGGTTCAGATACCCAGGCTCTCGAAGAAATGGTCCCCAAGAAACTTGAGGCGTTTTCCTCAAAGTGCTCGACATTCTCAAAGGAAGTGCTGGACGGATTCTAACTCCTCCTCATCCCTGCAGCTTCTACAGAAAACGTTATGCGGGGCTCCGAACCTGGCAGTCATGTGGCCAATGGTCCAGTATCCCGTTAAGGGATCAGTAAAATCAGCGGCATATTTTAAGCTTTAGATTCGGCTACAAGCAGGAGTCTGTTGCTTGAAGCAGGCGATTCGCTATATGTATATATGAGCGTCGTCAAAAAATATCCCAGAAATGGCTTATGTACTGACTTTTGGACCCGAAACGTGAAAGACAGATCTTATTATTCTTATTTGGCAATGCAACCGTTTGACGGCTTAGGCCGAGATAACAAAGTTTCTCCAATTGATTCTGCACTTGGTCCCTTCATTGCGTTCGTGGGCGCCCTTGCTTTCATTGTCCACACATGGATGCGGAATCGAAGCATATTTTCATCGGAGCGTCGTCATCCATGCGTACAACATGTCCAAGTCAGCGCAATCGCAGTATTTTTATGCACTTAACTATGTCCATTTCGTTAAAAAGCTCATAGAGTTCATCATTCCATCTTCTCCGATACCCGTCGTCCACGAAAACAGAGCCGTAGATCTTGCGTAGAATAGTTCTCTCGAAAGCTTCCAAAGCCTTCCTATCTTTTCCTTCGAATGAGGCTATCATACAGCCCGCCTGATAACTTCAGTGTTTTTCAGGCGGAGATATTTGCCATAGAGAAGGCAGCTTGTCTCATACGGGATAGTAAGTATCCGTGTTGTCAGCCAGCCGACATTGGAAACATTAAGCTCCAGGGTGGTAAAGACGAAATCAGTTCGTAAATTTCGTGCAACGCTGGCTTCACTGAGTCACGTCAAAACCTCTCTCTGCTGGGTTCCTGGACATAGTAATATAGAAGAGAACGAAATAGCCGATGATATAGCTAGACATGGAACGGAAATGGAAATTAGCGAAGCAGATAACTCCCTACTCTCACCGATTTATTTTTTGGATAAATCGGTATGACTGTGAGGTCTCAAGATCCTTGTGGTCGAGACTAAATAAGAGTGGTACTGAAGAACTATTGACGTAAACAAATCTGCAGTTACGGCCCTTACCGGTACCATCCCAGGGAAATCCTCCATCGATGGCGTATACTAACCAGCTGCCTCTGTAGAAGTTGTCGGGATGAGGATGAAGAGGAATCGATTCACCCCTTCTTAAGTCAATTCCCAGCTCTCCAAAAAGCGTCGCAAGCATTTGGTATCAGGCTTTTTCAATAGTTTGGGGGAGATAACGGAGGTGAAGCTATCGAATATCCACGGCGTAATCCGGGGCAGTAAATAATTTGACAAGCTTTACACTGATATTATAGATTAACTTCGGTTAGATGGAAAATCTGGTATACGTCATAATTTTCCCTTGGCCACCTCCTTATTTTTCGATGAGACTTATAGGTGACTGGAAATATGGAAATATTAAGAACATTTGTATATGGAGACTCCCTTGCCGCAGAAAGTCCACCGATGTTCTGTAATCGAAAAGCCATATAATGCAAACCACCTAATGGATAAGTAAGCGCTTAACACTGTGAATTAGTGGCAAGAGCAGATTCGACACGTCTAAATATGTACATAGTCTAAATATTACATAGTGCGATATGTTTGTAGTGAATACGTGAAGGATATGATTTCTCACCCCGCACGATAATCTTTGTGTGAGAATTATACTTTTTCACCATGTATGGGCTCTTAATTTTCTTTTATTAGTTATATACGAAGAGATGATTATATGCATTGAGGATAAGTAAAAGATAATTTAATTTCTTTTTGTATTTTGCCAGTGATTGACTACATTTTTCCCTGCTTATGTCATGCACTGATGCGCTTAAAAAAATACCTACGACAGTGATAGACAGTAGAAATATTTTTTGTAAAACATATATTAAAGGTTGCAACAACAATGTAAATGTGCTTGCAAACAAAAGACTCCAGCGACAAACCTCATCTTGCATATGTAATAGCTAAGTCGTAGTTTTTGCGCGGAAAATTGATTGAAAAAGGTGGAAAATAGAAAATGGAAAAAACTAATTTATATTTTTGCTACAGGGAGTTTTTCTGCATGTGATGAAAAAAACCTAAATTTATTAATTTATATTTATTATTAAAATTTTGAAATTATGTTAGGTGAGAAATTTCGGAAATTGGAAATATAAAAGAAATTGTCGTAATTTTTCAAATTTACAAACTGATAATAAAAACTAGCCAAAATTCTGGTTATCTTAGGGCCGTTTGCACTATATCTGGTTAATTCTAACTTCCAGTTAAACATCGTTATCGACACCCAGCATATAACTTGTGATCGATAAAGTAGTCGATATGCTCAATTGAAGGATGTACCTCCAGGTAGTGTTAACTAGATATGGTGTAAACGGCCCTTAAAAACTGGATATAAACTTTTGGTAATTTTTTTTTTTGATTTAGGCACAGAAATTTGGCGTCTGAAAGACTGGACATGGTTTATTGGGTAGCTTAAAAATTGGAGATAAATTTTTGGCCACCTCAAAACTGGACATAAATTTTTGGTAATTTACAAACTAGGCATACAATTTTTTTAACTTAGAAACTGAACATAAATTTGTGTACTCTTAAAAACTAGACAAAATTTTTGGTTGGCTTGAAAATTTAACATAACATTCATTAAAATTTAGATAGCTTGTTGTATAATTTAAAATTTAAATTTAATTTAAATATACATATTTTTGGATTTTTTTTGTGCACATTTAAATGCATATTTAAGTTTAACAATTTAAAAAATGGACTAATTATTTGGTTATTTTAGAACAAGACACAATTACAGTCTGGACATAATTACAAACTGGACATAATTTTTTTAATTCCAAAACTGCAAATCAATTTATGGTCGCTTAAAAGTTAGACACAAAATTAAAGTCACTTCGAAATTGACTCTGCAAAGGTGTACAAAGTCGTATGTCTTCCAAAAGATAGTATTCAACACTCTCCGTCTCTTCCTTTTCTCTGTAACAACAGCAAAAATCTTTGGTTGTGTTAACCCATTAGGCCTGTCCGGTGATTACCCCGACTACTAATCTGAGAGAAGAGCGAACAAGCGGAGTGAGAGCCAAGGATCGCTTTACATTGACTTTTGGCCAAATTTACCTGGTGGTGTGACAGCTGGTTTCTATATGCTTATATTTTACAATCTAGTATTTTTCGTTAAGCCAAAGCGAAAGTGGATCCATTTTTCGCCTCAAATCTGTCTGCAGCTTTTTTTAAATAAGTAAAAATTTGTGTCCCACTTAATAGTAATTTAAGCAAATATTTATGTCTGTTTTTTGAACTGCCAAACATTTGTTAAATTAGCGAAAATGTATGTCCAGTTTTTAATTGCCAAAAATTTATGACGAAAGACGTTGTCTTTAAACTATCGAAAATTCTTCCAATTTTAAACCACCAAAAACTGATGCCAATTTTTAAGGCGACCAAATTTTTTATCTGCTTACTTTCGAAAATTTAGGTCTGACCTTAAATGACTACACTAATCAATCACCTATTAGAAATGACAAAAAATGTATGCCAATTTTTTTAGTGACTTTATGCATTATATTCATATTGGTTGGTTTACCCAAAATTCATGTCAGGTTTGGAAATGACCAAACATTTTTTATGACCATAAAAATATGTCCAATTTTTCAAAGACCAAAAATGTATGCCCCGTCCTTAGATGACGAAAAATTTATGCGCAGTTTTCAATTTACCAAAAAGAATTTAAATTACTAAAAATTAACCCGTTTTTTCTATTACTACAAACGTGTGTCCAATTATAAATGGGCAAAAATGTATGTACCATTCGTAAGCTACCCAAAAAATTATGGTCAGCTACTAAAATAAAAATAATTTTTGATCAGTTTTTTTTTGTAAACAAAATCGAAAATTGTGTGTATTTTATAAATGAACAACAATTTATGGCTGGGCATTAAATGAGCAAAAATTGATGTCCACTTTTTGAATAACAAAAAATTCAAAATCAGTCTTAAAGTTAAAAAAGTGTATGTACAATTTTGAAGTGATCAAAAATTTATGACCAGTTTTTACTTTCACACGTTCGCACAATCTCCGTCCAACTCTTTGGTCGAAATGTTGTATGCCATCAAAAAGGAAAGCGAAAGTGTAAGAATTTTGCTTTCAGTCATAAAATTCAATCAAGCATCAATAAAGGGAAGAAAAAAATTAATAATTCCATAAAAAAGTACCGCCTGGCGATTAGCGTCTGACAGTAAGATGCTGACATCCACTTAACACTTGTCTGGTAAAACGTTGGCAAAACTTTGAGCCAACATTACAAGCCATACATTTTTCAGCTAAACGTTTGAGCTATAGCAATAGCAGATAATAAAAAGGAAAGAATGAGTAATAAAAGCGCAAAGAAACAGGTGCCACAGAAAACGCTACTTTTTCAATGAATAAACAAATAAAGTGTGAGAAATTTGAATTGCTTTAGCCGCAGCATAACAAGCGAAAGAGTAGTGGAAGAAAGAAATGACTCGCAGCATTTGACTATGAGAAGCGAAGCAAAGTGGCGCATGCTGGCCTAAACTTTACTAAATAATTCAGCGTTGACTTTCGCATTTGTCACTTTTGCTTTCGTTTGCCAATGGGGCGGCGCACGGTGGTCTGAGAGTGGCAGAAAGTCCTAATTTCCTAATAATGAGTGGAATTATCTGACTAAGTGGTTTAATCGATTTCAAACATGTCTACTACCAGTTTTTAAGAATTTTTTCCTGAGAAAACCTGCTCTAGCAATTATCAAAGGACACAGGAAGTCGATTCTGTATGAATAGAAGAATACAGAATTTAATTGAATTGCGCTGACATTTACCATTACCGCCCCCTAAAGTAGCGGGCGTGGCAGTCTACCATTTTCCATATTTATTCATTCCTAGGCAGAAGTACTTCCATTTAAAATTTTTAGGGAAATCGGAGCACATTTACTACTTTTTGTCACATTTTATATGCGGCTCTTCCACTGTGCGGCGCACTTAATGGTGTTTGCTGTCATTTAATTTGAATTTTTTGTGTGTTTTTA